CAACAGTTGAACCCTGTCAACACTTGACAGCAGGGTAAACACACTCTGCACATGCTCAGGTCAGGAGGATAAACGCTTTAAGGCGCTAGCCCTGATGACGTTTACCTAGTTTAGGTAATGAAACGTCTGTAAGAAAACAACCTCATTCGAAAGCACCAAAGACCCCTCATTTCAGAATCACAAGAGTTGGAAAGGGACCTTGAGAGGTCTTCTAGTCCAACCCCAGCCTGCTCAGGCAGGAAACCCTGTTTCAACCCTGAGCTACAAATATTCTCCTTTGCAAGCACTCTTTCCGGATGTAGGAAGCGGGATTCTCGCCTGAGCGAGGCGGGGGAAGGAAGGAAGGCTGGGGAGTGAGTGGCACCTGGTCATAGTCTTCGGCCCAGCCGTTGTAGAAGCGCAGCAGCTGCCGCAGATCCCTTTGGTGGTGCACCTCGGCCACGCGGCGCTGCACTTCGGCCAGGGGGCGGCTGGAGAGAGCGGCCATGGCCAGCTGGAAGCAGGCGGGGCCTTCCCTCCCGTTGGCCGCTGGGCTCCTGCCCGGCCGTTTATGACGCTGCCTCCCTCGGCGCTTTGGCTAGCGGCGGCTCTTGCTCTCTTTCGGGGAACCGCTGGATAGGTTGACTACCTGGGAAAAATAGGCTACTCCCGTTTCTTCCACAAAGGGTGGGATTCCCATAATCTGCTGCGGGTGGGATTCCCATAATCTCCCATAAAGTGGAGTTGGTCTCCAGAGAGCTTGTTTTTTGTTTTTTGGTAGATAACAAGAATGTTATTAAGGAGACAAGGAAACAATATCTCAAGTAGGGATCTCCAACCTTGGCAACTTTAAGACTTGTGGACTTCAACTCCCAGAATTCCTCAGCCAGCAAAACAAAGCAAAGCTGGCTGAGGAATTCTGGGAGTTGAAGTCCACAAGTTTTAAAAATTGCCAAGGTTGGAGACCCCTGATCTCAAGGGCAGGTGTGATTGCTGTGTTGTATGAACATGCCCTTATTGCTGCCTTTTATCAGTCCGGAAGCTGGGGAACTAATGAGTACAGGCCAAGGGAAGCTAGAAGTTCGAAGACACTCAATAATTAAACCTTAGGGTAATTGCAATAATTGGAATACTTCTACTTATTTACTTAAAAATTCAATTAAAAAAGAAAATAAGGGGAAATAATATTGTAGTATGAATTAATTAGATTTTGGTAAAAGAAAAAATGATTACAACGTGGTTTGGAATATACACTGCTCAAAAAAATAAAGGGAACACAAGCAGAAAACATCCGAGATCTGAATGAATGAAATAGCCTTATTAAATACTTTGTTCTTTACATACAGTAGTTTATACACTGCTTAAACAACTAAAGGGAACACAAAACTACTGTATGTAACGAACAAAGTATTTAATAAGGCTATTTCATTCATTCAGATCTTGGATGTCTTCTGCTTGTGTTCCCTTTATTTTTTTGAGCAGTGTATATTTTTTTGACAGAATATTTGAAAATGTGAGATAAAATGTAAGGAAGCAATTTGGTTTTCTTTTAGTATTACATAAAGGGGGAAAAACTGTTATATGAGTAATTGATTTTTATTAAGAAATTGATGTGTATTATTCGGAATAAGATCTAAGAAAATGTATGGTATAAAATGTTTTTTGGCTTATTATTTTTAAGAGGTTTGAAATATGTACTTTTGATGAAATATTTGAAAATAAGAGACAAAATCTAAGGAAGCAATTTGGTTTGCTGTCAGTATATAAAGGGGGAAAAACCCTGTCATACAAGGGATTATTATTTTGATATTAAATGAATGATTGTAACATTAGGGAATATGTCAAATGAGATTTTAAATTTAAGGGATTTCATATAGAGATGAAGAGAAAAATGGAATCTGGTGAAGATTAGAGCTAGGATGAATGGGCAATATGAATTCAAAAAAAAAAAAAAGGAAAAAAGAGAAGAAGGGAAGATGATATGGCAAAAAAATAATAATTAAACCTTGGATTTTTTTTTTTAAAAAAAAGATCTCAAAGTTCCAAGATTTAATTATTGAGTATCCTTGAACTTCTAGTTTCCCTTGGCCTGTACTCATTACTTCCCCAGCTTCCGGACTGATAAAAGGCAGCAATAAGGGCATGTTCATACAACACAGCAATCGCACCTGCCCTTGAGATCAGGGGTCTCCAACGTTGGCAACTTTAAGACTTGTAAGTTATCTTTGTGGGAGCAGCAATTAGGGCCTTGCTCCAAGATATCCAAATTGAGGATATTTTCCACCCTGATTCACTTGGTTGTCTCTCTCTGTGTCCAGGATCTGTGGACTGGGAGAGGGTTTTAAACCAATGTTTCACCACCTCTGCAACTTTTAAAATGTGTGGACTTCAATTCCCAAGATTATGCAGGCACCTGTGCTGGCTGGGCAATTAATTCTGTGAGTTGAAGTCCACACACCTTAAAAGTTGCTGAGGTTGAGAAATGTTCTTCAAAATAAATAATCCTCTTAACCTTGCGTGTGACATCCTTTGAGACAGAGACATACATGCTGCAGTGTTTGGAGGAGAAGAAGACAGAGGGGTTTCAGATCCAGTGTGAACTGCTTCACTGGAACTATCAAAAGCTTTTGAAAAAGTAATATTTTCCTGAGCCTATGCAGTTTAGTGCAAGTTTAGGAAAAGGCACAGTTCTACTTTCAGGGAGGGGAAGCAAAGAGTGCTGCCAGAGCCCCTGCTTATTCTTCTCAAGGTTGAACACAGCATGCTTTTTCAGTCTTCAGTCAATCAGAATAGAGCTGGAAGAGTACCTTGGAGGTCTTCTAGTCCAACCCCCTCTTCAAGCAGGAAACCCTATACCAGTGATAGCTAACCTTTTTGCCATCGTGTGCCAAAAGCGGGGGGAGCAAGGGGGGTCATGTGTGCGTGTGTCCATACCCATAATTCAATGCGCCCCACGCATGCGCGCATAACCCCCTTGCGCTGCTCCTGCTTTTGGCACGCGATGGCACGGTGGGCTCGGTAGGCCTGTTTTTCGCCCTCCTCAGGCTCCAGAGGCTTTCTTGGAGCCTGGGGAGGGCGAAAACGGCCTTCCCCTCCTGGGCGGCCCTTCAGAGGTCAGAAACAGCCCGTTTGCTGACTTCCAGTGGGCCCGGAGGGCCCGAAAATTAGATGTGCGCGCCGGAGCTGAGATAGGGCAATGCTCGCATGCCCACCAATACGGCTCCATGTGCCACCTGTGGCACACGTACCATAGGTTCGCCATCACGGCCCTATACCATTTCAGACAAGTGACTGTCCGGTCTCTTCTTAAAAACCTCCAGTGATGAAGCACCCACAACTTCTGATGGCAAGCTGTTGAACTGGTTAATTGTCCCCACTGTTAGGAAGTTCCTTCTTAATTCCAAGTTGCTTCTCTCCTTGATTAGTTTCCATCCATTGTTTCTTGTCCTTCCCTCTGGTGCTTTGGAAAACAAGTTGACTACCCCCTCCTTTTTGTGGCAGCCTCTCAAGTACTGGAATACTGCTATCATGTCCCACCTAGTCCTTCTTTTCTCTAGACTAGCCAACTCCAAATCCTGCAATTGTTTTAGTCTCCAGGCCTTTAATCATCTTAGTTGCTCTTTTTTGCATTTTTCCAAAGTCTCAACATCTTTTTTGTACTGCGGTGACCAAAAGTGTTCCAGGTGTGACCTTACTAGGGTTTTACAAAGCGGTACTAATACTTCACATAATTTTGATTATATGCCTCTTTATACCAAGGATTGTGTTAGCTTTTTTGGCTGCTGCTGCACACTGCTGGCTCATGTTTAAGTTTAAGTGATTGTCCACTAGGACTCCAAAGTCCCTCTCAGCTATTGCTTTTGAGCCAGGTTTTGCCTAATTTGTACTTGTACCTTTGGTTTTTCCTGCCTAAGTGTAAAATCTTGCTTTTTCCCCCACTTTAAATTTCATTTAATTTCACATCCTGGACATAAATTGTTTCAACTCCTACCCTCAAAATGACGCTATAGAGCACTGCACACCAACTAGACACAAGAACAGTTTTTTCCCGAACGCCATCATTGCTAAACAAATAATTCCCTCAACACTGTCAAACTATTCACTAAGTCTGCATTACTATTACTATTAGTCTTCTCATCAGTCCTATCACTCATCTCCTCCCACTTATGACTGCATGGCTGTAACTTTGTTGCTTGTATCCTTACGATCTATATGGATTGTTTCCTAATATGTACACTGAGAGCATATGCACCTAAGACAAAATCCTTGTGTGTCCAATCACACTTGGCCAATAAAGAATTCTATTCTATTCTATTCTATTTTGTTGGATAGAGCTCATTGTTCAAATCTGTCATGATGTTTTTGGTTCCTGAGCTTGTCTTCATAGGGTTCTAATCTGATAGTCCTTGTTACATATATCAGTTTCTTTGCCTTTGTTAAGTGTGTGGCCAGAATTTATTTTGGTCCTTGATCAGCTGAGTGCATAGCATAATAAAAGGCTATCAAGATGGATTTGATCCTGATGATTGCATAGAAAAATGTTCTCCATCATGACAAATTTTTATCAACGTCTAGCTTTTCCAAAGAGACCTGAGTAATCTTTCTGATGCTCCCCTCCCTTTCTCTGTTGCTGTATTTAACTGAACCTTCTTAAGCATAATATGTTTCCTTGTGTTCAAGATGGATTTGATCCTGATGACTACATAGAAGAAAGTTCTCCATCATGACAAATTTGTCATGAGGCAACCCTGAGGGTTGAAAGTTTGTGATTCAGGATACTATGCAGTCTCAGCCATTGTAGTAGCATATTGTGTGAAACAGTAATATAACTTCCATTTTGCAAAGTGAACATAGTGCCTGTGGTGTATTAACCTCGGTATAAGGTATAGCACATCATGTAAAGCCAGCCCTGGGGTATGGTCACAGTGGGGTCAGTCTTCAGGATTTCACAACTGAGTAGCCTCTGCCATGACATCACTGTCATGTCACAAAGCTGAAAGCCAAGGTATTCAACTGGAACCTGCTTAACAGCTGCTTGAGAGTGGAGCAAAAGGGAAGAAGTTGTGGACAAGTCATTGCCTCTTTGAAAATTCTCAGGACCTTGAAACTGTAGGTCTCTACTACCGGTAGATAGGGAAATCTGATTCTGCTCTTCTCCAAGTGCAGAGAATGAAAGGGAAACTGCTTCAAGGGCCCTCCCACTTCCCACCTGAGAAGAAATCGTTCCAAAAGAAAAATGATGAATGAGGGGAGGGAGGGAAGCAAAATGACTGAGGAATCTGTTCTTATTCTGGAGTTTCGGGACCTGGCTTTGTTTTTCATCCTGCTCGCTGGCTGTATAGAAAAAAGGCAGTTTACAGGAGGACTGACAGAGCCGGTTCTATACTGCGTTTACACCACTGGTGGGATGTTACAGCTTTTACAGGGCCAGTGTGGCTAAACCACTGTGAGAGGGTGGTTTTTGATGCTCTGGCTTTTCCATGACCAGCATGGCCAACCACCGTGAGAGGGTGGTTTGGATGCTTGCCCCAGTTGGACGGAACGCGAGGAATCTTGCCCACTACCGTGAGAGGGTAGTGGTGATTCTTCCGGTCATGTTTAATCTGGCCTTTCCTGGACGTTTTTGGGACTATCATTGTGGACTCCTCGGCCTTATTTGAACCATCATCGCAGAGTTTTGGATGTACCCAAGGTCCAAGCTTCTTGCGCTGCGAGATTCCCCCCCTTGCAGGTTTGGCCCTCCACATTATCGAGGGCCTATCTTGATGACGGGTTTTAGAACCCCGAGAGATGGCATGCGTCAAAGAGGGGATTAAGGTTTTTTTTAAATGCATTGTTAACTAAAATTATAAGGGGTTCAGGGATGACCAGAGTGGGAGTGGGGGAGAACCCACAAGGGGTCCGGCAGAGGGCAGCAGCATTAGGGATGCAGGGTTGGACACCAGGGAGGGGGCTAGAGCTCGACCTTACGAGGGCCGTATGATCTGTACTGTGGGTGAGAGGGGCAGATATGGTGAAAGCAGGAGACCATATCATGTTATGGGCTCTCACTATCTTCGTGCAATTGCGCACTCCGGTCCCCAAGGCTTTACTCGTTCCCCAGGTAGCACAGACTCTCAGGGCCTGGGCCTTTGGCTGATATTGTGCAACGCCAGATCTGTGGTAAATAAGGCCCCCCTCATTTACAATCTTATTCAGGAGGGGGGAGCGGATCTGGTCGGTATTACAGAGACCTGGTTGGGCCCAGAAGGGGGGTGCCCCTGACTGAAATGTGCCCACCGGGTTTCTGGGCGTTTCATCAGCTGAGGGTCCAGGGTAGGGGGGTGGTGGCGGTTATTATTAAAGAAAGTCTATGTCCGAGGGAGACCACTGTACCTCAGATAGCCGGATGTGAGTCCCTCCTTGTGAAGTGGGGTCGTGGGGTGCAGATGGGCCTGCTGATTACATACTTGGCTCCCTGCTGCATGGCAGCGGCCCTGTCTGAGCTGCCTGACATGATAGCCGGGGTGGCGGTTGATACCCCCAGGCTTATGGTTATGGGGGATTTCAACCTGTCATCTGTTGGTGAAACATCTGTGGCAGCTCGAGAGCTGTTGGCTTCCATGATGGCCTTGGACCTGACCCAAGTAGTTCAAGGCCCTACTCACATGGGGGGACACACTCTGGACTTGATTTTTGTCTCTGGTCAGTGGCAGAGTGATCTGGAAAGAGGGGATTTAGTCATCGAACCCTTGTCATGGTCTGATCACTCCCTCCTTCGCATGGACTTTCGAACCGCTACACCTCGCCTCAGGGAGACGGAACCGACCAGATGGTTCTGTCACAGGTGCCTGATAGACCCGGATAGGCTCCTGACGGAGCTTGGGCCATTCCCTGAGACTCTGGCTCATGGCACGACTGAAGAGCTGGTGGCCGCCTGGGATAGGGTGGCCACCGGAGCTTGGATCATGTCGTGCATTTGCGGCCTCTGACCCGGTGCCGATCTCAATTGGCTCCCTGGTTCTCCGAGGAGCTGAGGGAGATGAAGTGCCGGAAAAAACTCCTGGAGAGTGATTGGAGGGCCAGTCGCTCCGAATCTGACTGAACACTGGTGAGGTCTCATATTAAGATCTACCTAGTGGTGATAAAAGCAGCGAAATTTAACTATTTTTCCGCTCTTATCGGGTCAGCAGAGAACCGCCCAGCAGCCCTGTTTAGGGTGACCCGCTCCCTCCTTCACCTGGGAGCGAGGGAAGACCCTTTGCAGGGTGGCGCTGAGGATTTTGTGCAATTCCTGCATGACAAAGTCACTCAGATTCGGGAAGGTCTGGACTCTGATTGGGTAGATCCGGATGGAGTGATGGAGGGGAATCTTGAGAATGTTATCTGGGAGGGGTTTGACCTTGTGACTCCTGAGGACGTGGACAGGATTCTGGGGAGGCTTAGCACTGCCACATGTTTGTTGGATCCGTGTCCCCCCTGGTTGGTGCTGGCCTCCTGGGAGGTTACACGATGCTGGCTCCAGGGGATTATTAATGCTTCTTTGAGTGAAGGTTACTTCCCCCCTCTTTGAAAGAGGCGGTGGTGAGGCCTCTCCTCAAGAAGCCTTCCCTGGACCCGGCTACATTAGTGAATTATCGCCCAGTCTCCAATCTTCGCTTTGTGGCGAAGGTTGTTGAGAGTGTGGTAGCGTGACAACTGCCCCAGTACCTGGATGAAGCCGATTATCTAGACCCGTTCCAGTCAGGCTTCAGGCCAGGGCACAGCATGGAAACGGCATTGGTCGCATTGGTTGATGATCTCTGGAGGGCTCGGGATAGGGGTTGTTCCTCTGTCCTGGTCCTATTAGATCTCTCAGTGGCTTTTGATACCATCGACCATGGTATCATGCTGCGACGATTGGAGGGGTTAGGAGTGGGGGGCACCGTGTTGCGGTGGTTCTCCTTCCTCTCCGACCGTATGCAGTTTGTGTTGGGAGTGGGGCAGAAGTCGACCTCGATGAGCCTTGTGTGTGGGGTGCCGCAAGGGTCTGTCCTCTCGCCTCTTCTGTTCAACATTTATGTGACGCCGCTGGGCGAGATCGTCCCTGGTTTTGGAGTAAGATTCCATCAGTACGCTGACGATACTCAGCTGTACATCTCCACTCCGAACCACCCCAATGATGCCCTTGATGTGATGTCCCGGTGCCTGGAGGCCATGCGGATCTGGATGGGGAGAAATAGGCTCAAACTCAACCCCTCCAAGAATGAGTGGCTGTGGCTTCCGGCGTCCCGGTATAGTCAGCTGGCGCCATCGCTGACTATTGGGGGTGAGATCTTGGCCCCCACAGAGAGGGCTCGCAACTTGGGTGTTCTCCTGGATGCATGGCTGTCTTTGGAAGAGCACATGACAGCTGTGGCCAGGGGAGCTTTCTATCGGGTTCCCCTGATGCACCAGTTGCATCCCTTTCTGGACCGGGATGCTCTGCACATGGTCACTCATGCCCTCGTCACATCCCGTCTGGACTACTGCAACACTCTCTACATGGGGCTCCCCTTGAAGAGCACTCAGAGGCTCCAGCTGGTCCAGAATGCGGCCGCACGTTATGGGTGCGACTTAGCGCGCCCATGTAACACCCCTCCTGCATGAGCTGCACTGGCTCCCGTTGGTCTTCCGAGTGCGATTCAAGGTGTTGGTCACCACCTTTAAAGCGCTCCATGGTTTAAGACTGGGATACATATGAGACCGCCTTCTGCCATCAACAACCTCCCACTGGCCAATACACTCCCATAGAGAGGGGCTCCTCAGGGTGCCGTTGGCCAAACAATGCTGACTGGCGACACCCAGGGGGAGAGTCTTCTCTGTGGGGGCACCAGCCCTTTGGAATGAGCTGCCCCTAGAGCTTTGTCTTAGCCCCGACCTGCGTACTTTTCGCCGTGCCCTAAAGACCTTCCTGTTTCAGCAAGCCGGACTGTCCTAATATGAATTTTAAGTGGGTGTATGTGTGTTTTAATTGAGGGCCAAATTGTATATATTTATTTTAATTGGTTTTAAATTTTATAAATTCATGTGTTTTTGTTTTTTTTTTTTTTATTGCAAAAGTTTTACAATTACATTTTCACCCCTTTTTTCACCCCCCCACCTCCCTCCCCAAACTTCCCGTCCTCCCTAACCCTCCCTAACCCTCCCCCCCCCCAGACTTCCCTTTTATGCTCTTAAAACTAATAACACTGATATATATACCTGAACCCATCCCTCCCCCTATATAATTTTCCCTCTTTGTCTCTTTATATTAAAATATTTCTAATACATTGTTTTCAAATAAAAGCTATTTGATACTTTCTAATTTGGTATTTGTTCTGAACATATTCTATCCACCTTTTCCATTCCCATTCATAAGTCTCTTGTGAACAATCTTTTAAATATGCTGAAATCTTCGCCATCTCTGCAAAACTGGCCATCTTCGAAGTCCATTCCTCGATAGTAGGCAAAGCTTCATTCTTCCAATATTTACCTATCAACAATCTTGCTGCTGTTAACATATACAATATTAATTTTGTTTCATCCCGTGTAAAACCCTTAACTATGCCCAATAAAAACAATTGTGGAGAAAATTGAATTTTTTTCTTCAAAACATTCTGCATGACCCACCATATTTTTATCCAAAAAGCCTTAACTTTCCTACAGGTCCACCAAACATGATAATACGTAGCATCCAAACATTCACATCTCCAACATTTTGGCTGAACATTAGGGTACATACAAGACAACTTTTTAGGATCTAAATGCCATCTATAAAACATTTTATAAAAATTTTCCCTCAGATTCTGCGACTGTGTAAATTTAACATTCTGAACCCAAATTTTTTCCCATGTTTCCAACATCACTGGTTCTTCAAAATTTTGTGCCCACTTAATCATGCAATCTTTAACTAATTCCGTTTCTGAATCCCTTTCTAGCAAAACATTATAAAGCCTTTTAATATGCATTGGACCTTTCTCTCTTATATGTCTAACCAATTCTTCCTCATGCAACATAATACCAGTTTTTTGGTCCTCTTTCCATCTCAATTGTAATTGATTATATTGTAACCAGGTTAAATTAATCCCTTCATCCAACAGTGTCTGCAATGTCTTCAGCTGCCATCTGCCCGCATCTGTAAAAAGAACCTCTTTGTATAAAAACCCCCCGAGTGACATTATATTTGTATTCCACAAATAAATTCATGTGTTTTAATATGGCTGTACACCGCCCTGAGTCCCCTGGGAGAAGGGCGGTATAGAAATCCAATAAACTTAAACTTAAACTTAATGAATTCTTAAAATTCAACACAAGGGACTTAACAGAAGGCAGCAAAGAAATGGAGATGAACGCTGGTGATTGGGATTAAAATAGGTGTCCAGTTCATAGATTTGGATTTATTGACAGGAATGGATGAGAGGCTGTAATTCCAGAGATTACAAGTGAAAATATGCTAGTGAAAATTTATAAATGGGAACTAGAAGAGAAAGTGACAGCCCCCCCCAGCTGTGGAGGGCTGCTTGCAAGCTGAAATGATTGAACTGATTCAAGGGGTTCAATTGGGCAAATTAATTAAAGATTTTGGGGCACTAAAGGCAGGTTAAGCCTGATTAATTTTGTGGCTTATTGTAACTTGTTTGGTTCATTTATATATATATACCTGTATATAACATTTAGTTTACAAATGTGAATTTGGTCACTGTTAATGTGTAATTTGACTTGCAGTTTAGCATGTTTAGTAGCTGTCCTCAAATTATTTAGCCTTTTTTTTAAAATTTAAGCAATTTTACAGGATTGTTGTGTTAAGGGGAGGAAGGAATAAATGCTTAGTCGCTAGATTAAACAGGATAGCAAAAAAGAATAAAAGGGTATATGGCTGTCTTCATTCACAGATCTCTGAAGAGTGTTGTGTGCTGTGCCATCTCTTGTCAAGCAGTGCTTCTCCATGGAGCCCAAGACACATCCTTCTGGCAAATTTCCTGAGTCAGGATCCTCGCTTCCAACTATGGGGAAAAACCTACAGGGTGCAGTTCGAGGGGGGCTGAGAACTCTGTACCTGCACCTTCTCTCACTGCAAGAGGGGATTCTGAGTTGGTATTTATGTCTGAAGCAGATTCAGTGGGATCTCCTGTGCTGGATCCAGGCTTCCTTAGAGCTAACTATAGACTTCTTCTTCTGTTGGGCACAAAATGTCCTCCTTGCTTCCATGATGCTCCTGCTGTTGGCATGGCAAATTCACAGTGGAGCCAAGGAATATGGCTGGAGATCATTCCTACGAAGGCTGGTGAGAGAGACAGAGTGATAAAAGTCCTTCCGAAAGGGCACTTAGACTTATATACCACTTTACAGGGCTTTACAGCCCTCTCTAAGCAGTTTACAGGGAGTCAGCATATTGCCCCCAATAATTTGGCTCCTCATTTTACCTACCTTGGAAGGCTGAGTCAACCTTGAGCCTGGTGAGATTTGAACTGCCCAAATTGCAGGCAGCTGGCAGTCATCAGAAGTAGCCTGCAGCACTGCACTCTAACCACTGTGTCCCCGTGGCTCATAATGGCTTCAATTTACCTGCCCTCCATCAATGTGTTGAGTCACTTTTCAAAGCTATTCAAGGGAAAGAAGATTGTCTGAACCCAGCTAATGGGAGTGCCCTAGGATGAAGGGGTGGGGGCGGGGTGCAGAGAGTCCTACCTTGGTCCTTTCCCCTTTCCAAAATTCCACCATTCAAGCCATTCCTCCCAACCCTCCTGACACGTTCTTGCCTATTTTTGCTTGCCAGGTCCTGGAAAAGCAGCTTACCCAGAAGATTTCACTACTGAAAAGCTGCTGCTGGAATCTGGAGAACCTCCTGATTCAGATGACTTGGACCTCAGTTTGCTGCTTCATCTGGGTTGTGTCCTGCATTGTTCAGGCCCTGGAAGCCAGCTACAAGCAGGCTGCCCAGATGGCCAGAGACCAGACTGAAGAAGACAAAAAGGAAACAGCAAGGCCACTCATGATGACCTCTCATTCAGCTGTTCTCTCAAGGCAGGAATTGCTGACCTAGCTGGCATTCACTAAACATTGCTGGAGGAGATCTTACTTAAGAGGGTTGTGCATTTTTTTCGTGGGGTCAGAGTGAGATGGGGTAGTAGGTGATTTTAGCAATGTGCACAGTGTGATGCATTTGGGGGTTGATTTTAGTGTCCCAAAGCATCTTTTCCGATTCTTGAATCAGATTTTGGAGAAGGGCATTATCAGCTTGTAGCAATGCCTCTTCAGACCTGGCAGACAATTTTGCTTTCGTCCTGTTTCCTGTTCCATTATGTTATTTCCTCTCAGTGTAAGTAACATTGTGCAACCCATAGTAAGGGAATAAGAATAAGCCAAAGAAATTAAAACCTGTGCTATGATAGCTGACTCTAGTTTGTACCAAATTGTTCACCAGCACACCGTATCTCTATATAGTTTCATACATTGCTTTTCATCGTACCTCTATATAGCTTCATACATTGTGTTTTGTTCTTAAACTTTCTCTCTGAGCATATCCATTCCAGCCACAACCTTCTTGGTCTTCTCCAACCTCTTGATCCATTCACTTTGCTTTCGCATATTTTCTGAATGTACTTTGTAAATTGATTCTCACTTACAGTATCTGTAAGAGCAACATGCAGGAATTTCAGTCAATTGATGCATCTGTTCTTGACTTCTGCCTAGGGTTATGAATTCTCACGAAATTTGTTTTCCATTCTAAATCTTGCATTTATCACATGGCTTTGTAGGCTTGAAGTATATTGAAAAATGTACTTGTTTTTCTTGTTTTTTTAAGCATTTAAAGACAAAAAAAGGATTCTAACATGTTTATAGGTACTCACTTCGGTACATATTGAAAGACTGAAATAAAAAATAATTCACAATAGGTTGAAACGCTCAGTCCAAGCTTTCCATGAATTTGGGAAATAGTGGAGGAGTCCAAATTAATTCTCAAAGATTGGCACATGGGGAGGGCGGGCGGGCTTGAAGCAGAGGCAAGTGCAGCAGGGCAGGAGAAGCAGAAGGTCCTCATCTAATGACAGCAACTGGAGCTGCCATTGCTAAAGTGACCAGGCGGTTTGGACTAGAAGGCCTCCAAGATCCCTTCCATCTCTTATTCTGTTGCAGTCAATGTGATAGGGTGGTTACGATATTGGACTGTGAGCTGGGAGACCTAGATTCATATCTTGTTCACAAGCATAAAAGTTATCAAATCACAATACAAGAAGGAGGACCCATCAACTCTTGGCTCATGGGTTATTCCACCCATACTTGAACCAGCAGAAAATTACACTTGTATAAACTTCGCTGTCCCCATTGCCAACCCCTGCCCTGACTTTACATCAGAGGTGGTATTCAACTGGTTCAGATCAGTTTGCCCGAACTGGTAGCGGAAGTCATGGGTAGGCCTGCCCACCTGCCCTGGCTCTATGCCCATGTTGGCGAACCTATGGCACGTGTGCCGGAAGTGGCACGCAGAGCTGTTTTTCCGGGCATGTGAACCGTCACCAAGCTCATGTGAAACTGCACATGCGCGCGCACCCCAGCTGGTGTTCAGGCCTCTGGTGCTCATGTGCGTAATTCAGGGGACCCAGCTGGCCCTCAGAGCTCTCCGCATGTGTGCATGTTTGCACATGCGTGCGAGATGACTGTTGTGCAGTGCGTGTTTCTTAAAATGTGATGCTCAGAATTAATACTCAAGGTGTGGTCAGTGTATATAGTACTAGTATTTTATTTATTACAATTATTTATATATCACTGTGCCCTGAGACTCCAGGTGACTCACAGCTTCACATAACAATTCTAAAATCAAATTAATATTGACACATCCATAAAACTAATTCCCAATAAAATCAGATAAAATCATAGCAACTCTAGCAGCTGTTGCCATCACAAAACTCAGCCATTGAAGTCCCTTTTTTAAAAAAAGGTCTTTACCAAAGTCTAACAGGGAAGCAGCTGGTGTACCTCCATGCTGGCTGGGGAATTCTGGGGGATGAAGTTCGCATTTCTTAAAGTTACCAAAGTTGAGAAACATTGCTTCAGAGGGAAGGGGCCACCACAGAGAAGGGCTGCTTTCAGGCTCTTGCCCATTTCATTTCTCAATAGAACAGGATCCTGAGCATAGCTTGTCTATAGAATTTCACAATATGGAGAAGGTGATCCCTAAAATAACCCAGACCTGTGTGTGTAGTGAGAATATTTTGAATTGTATTCAGAAGCCTCTTGGAAACCAGTGTGATAACATTATTATTGATGTTATGCTGTGGCATCAGGGTTTGCATTTGCCTGGCTGCTATGTCCTCTGCCAACTGTAGTTCATGAACTGCCTTCAAAGGCAGCTTCACATGGAGTGTGTGGCAACAGTAACTTGAACTGCAGTTGCCAAGGTTTCTTTGTCCAGGGAGGGCCGTATCCAATCCCTGTCAACCTCCTAGGCTGCATTAATAGAGAATCAAGATCACGTGAAGTTCTAGTACCACTTTTCAAAGACTTAGTAAGACCACACTTAGAATACTGCATCCAATTATTAGAAGAAATTTTCCTGGTTCGTCCCCTGTGGTGGGACATACCACAGACGCTGAGAAGAAACGGATGCAGAAGCCAGTTGCCAGAAAGTGGAATTCTTTTAATGTAGGAAGACAAGAAGCAAAAAGTGACACAGCTCAAACATTCCTGGCTTGCAAGCAGCTTGTGCGTGTGAATCTAAGCTTTTTTATATTTAATTTCCCTTTGAAGCTCCTGAAGCTTGATGGGTTTATTTGTGTGCCTCTAGTTAAAGTGATTGCCCTGGATCCTATCTTCCTGCCTTAATGGGTTAATCCTGTCCCAGGACCTTTGTCTTTCCTATCCTGAGGGTTAATCTTGTCAGGGGTCAGGAAAAAGGGAGTTTGGGTTTGTTGGAGAGTTTATTTTTAGCCTGATTCCCCTTATCTTAATGGCTCTACTTAAGTGTTTCTGTTACTTTTGTAACAGCCATTAGCAGGGCTGCTCTGAGTTTCCCTTTAGCTGGTGCTTCTTGGTTTGCTTAAAGGGGGGAAGGCTTGAGTTTCTTAGCACTGTTTCCTGAGGTTTCTGGTGCTGTCCTTTTGGGGTGTACTTCCCACACAGTTCTGGTCACCACAAAAGATGTTGAGAGTCTGGAGCAACAAATATGATTAGGTGCCAAAGGCACATACAAAGATCAGTTACAGGAATTGGGTATGTCTAGACTAATGAAAAGAAGGACTAGGAGAAACATGATGTCAATGTTCCAATATTTGAGATGAGAGGATTAACTTATTTTCCACAGCACCAAAAACAAGATGAGAAACAATGTATGGAAATTAATCAAGGAGAGAAGCAATGTAGAACTAAGAAGAAATTTCCTAACAGCGACAGCAATCAACCAATGGAATAACTTGTTTTCAGAAGTTGTGGGTGCTCCATCATTGGGGGCTTTCAATGATTTCAAATGAACCATTTATCTGAAATGGCATAGGGTCTCCTACTTGAGCTCTGTGCACGCTCACATTTGCGAACCAATAGCGAAGGTAAGTGAATAGCACCCTGATCCAAAGTCCCTTCCAACTCTATTATTCTACGTTCTTCTTCCAAGCATTTTGAAAAAATTGTTTTAGGTGCCAACACTATTCTGGTATTGTGGTTATCACTTGTTTGAGCATATCTTTCCTGTGCTATTTATTAACATTTTTACTGCTTTTGATTTTTATTTTTCACCTTTGCTACTATCGTACTAATTTTGCAATCTGCCAAGGCTGTTAGACAAGATTAGAAATATAATAATTAGGCAGTATAATTGATAACACATGTTCTGCCACTGTGTCACCTCCAACAGCCCTTCACAAAAAAAATCCAATTCCCGCTAAGGACAGACAATTCCCATTTCACTCTTTCTGAAAGTTTGTTTGTTTTTTTTCTTTTCCAGCACATCTTTATGGAGGAATGGTGTTACCTGCTCCACTTTAGAATCAATTTACATTGCTGTCTGCCCAGCAGTGGGCTTCACATTATATTATTACCGGTTCCCCGCACGCGCGCCTGGTTCGCACACGCCTTCCGCACTCGCCTTCCGCGCATGTGCTTTGCTCTCTCTCATGCCTTCCACACATGCGCCCAGCCTCAAAAATGTGTCTAAATAGGATGGCATAGAGTGGGGGCGAGGGGGCAGGCCCACCCACAATTTCTGCTACCGGTTCAGGTGAACTGGTCCGAACCTGCTGTGTCTGCCACATTGCCCTTCAAAAAAGCTTCCCACTGTAAGTCAGCAAATGGGCCGTTTCTGGCCTCTGGAGGGCTTCCTGGGGGGGTGGGGGGTGGGGAAGGCTGTTTTCGCCCTCCCCAGGCTCCAAGAAAGCCTCTGGAGCCTGGGGAGGGCAAAAAAATGGGCCTACCAAGCGCACAGTGCCATCGCGTGCCAAAAGCGGGGGAGTGCGGGGGGGTCGCATGCATGGGGGCAGGGCACATTGAATTATAGGTGTGGGCACGCCTGCGTGTGACCCCCCCTGCGCTCTCTCCGCTTTTGGCACACGATGGCAAAAAGGTTAGCCATCACTGTTCTAGGTTCTGGAGATGCCACTTGATTACAATTCCAGGAAGCATGGCCAATGATGAAAGATTGCAGGAGAGAGGACTGTAATTCAGCAAGAACTACCTCTGCCTTGCCCTCTGCTGATGGAGAAAGCTAGTTGTAATCTACTACTGAAACTAGTACTTTCACATGGAGGAGTATCACTTGATGGTGTAAGTGTGACAAGCCACCGGACATTCTGGACCCAAACTGCTGCTGAGTTTTACAAAAAAAATTGGGTTGATATATTCTAGCAATTCCGTTCCCCAAAGAATTGCCTCAGAGAGCAGCAGTTTGCTTGGTGGCCATAAGGGGGCACCCTTCTCCACCAATTCCAGAAGTTCCTCCTTTCAGTAAATCCTTAGAAAGGATCATCATTTCCCCCATTGGCCTTCCTTCTACAGTACTATATTCATATGTATAATATGTACCCCAAATTCCTGCTGTGTTCAGTAACAAACTTCAAATAGACCAAGAACAGTGTCCCCAAGGGAGCAGGGAGGAGTTCAGCCCTCTCGAGAGTTGTTGTTCCGAAGACCAAGCAAGCATGCAATGCGATGGGGATGTGGAGATCACATCCATCTTGGGCGGTTCCGAGGGAGTCAGGACCAAGCCAGACTCAACAATATGATATGAAGCAACTGGCAGCCATACAAGTTGCAAAGGATTCTGGATCTCTTCTAAGAGACACTCGGTTGCTGATAATAACAATTTAATAATGTTTTAATTCCCAAGTTTTTGGAAGGCTGTTTTGAACATTCCAAATGTGACCGACCTCAAATCAAGGCATGATAAGTATGCCATAAATGATA